TCCACCCCCAGGCGGTCCCGGGGCGCCTCCGGGGGCCGCGCCGGGGGCTTTAGCTCCCGCTCCAGAGAGACGGGGCCGCGGCCTCGGAGCCGCAGAGACCGAACCATCCGCTGGCCCAGGGCTGGGCTGGGGCGGACCCAGAATGGATCTATGAGCCGCCGGTGCGTTCCGGGCGACCCTCCTTCCTTCTTTTCTTTCTCCAGTTCACTCCCCCTTTTCCTCTTTCCTTCTTTCACGCCTCTCTCTTCCCGTGGAGGGGAAGCTGGTGCGCCCCTGTGGGGAGGGAAGGGCGCCTGCTGCTCGGCGCCGGGAGAGTCACCCCAGGCCGGCCTGCAGGCCCCGGCGCCCGGCAGAGCGCTTGTGGGGAGCCAGGCCTCGGATGGGCCTGTCGGGCCGCCCCTTCTCGGCTCACCTTCCTTGGGGCTGGGGCTGGGGTGGTCCGGGTGGAGGGAGGGCAAGTGTTGAGCCCAGACTCGGGAGGAGAGAGAGGTAGGCGATTAGTTGGAAAATGGCAGGCAGGCCTAAGCAGTCTTTTTTTTTTTCTTTTTTTTTTCCTGATTGGAATTAAAAACCCAGAGGGGCAGATGCCATGGTGGGAAGGGTCTCCGGGACCCGTAGGTCCAGCAGATTCGCAGTGCTAAGAAGTGGTGGGGTGCTGGGGCCAGCATTCCCTGCCAGAACTGCGGTGACCGGGTGACCGGGTGACCATGGCAGCCAGGCGGGGCACCTCAGGACTAGGGGAGGCCTGGTCACCACAGCATTTACTTTGGGTGTCCCTGCGGTTTGGTGGTTCTGAACCAGTCCCCCTGCAGTGTCTCTGTTCCCTGCTGGGATCTGTGCGGCCTAGTGCCAGAGATCCTGACACTTTGCTCAAAGGGTGCCCCAAGACCTCTTGGTTAGGGCTAGCAGAGGATCCACAGGGGTGCCTCTGTCCCTGGAGTCCCAGAAGCTGGCGCCTGAGTAGGGAGACAACCTCGGCGTTCGAGGGTCTCTGCAGAGCAGCAACAGGTGTCCTTGGCCAGCCCCAGAACGCCTCCACTGAGGCAGTCTCCCGCCAGTACGGCCCAAAATCCGGAAGCTCAACACTTTTAGGTCTGCAGTGCTAAGCCAGTTAAAATCATTTCTGGGTCTGGAGCTACACTTCACACCGCCTCTTGGGTGGAGAGGTGAGGGCCTGTCGGCCAATGCTACCTCCAGCTCTGCTGCCTGGCTGGCCAGGGAGTCAAGGGGGCCAGAGGCAGTGGCCTGGCCTTGCCGGTGCCTCCCAGCTGGGCCCCGCAGTCTCCGGGTGCTTTCCTCCCAGTAGCAGAAGCCCGTGACCTGTCCACCAGAAAACCTATGTTCTTTCCTTTTCCAACGCTGATCCAGCAATGAGCTGTTGGGCAGTGGTGGCTATTTGCCCACCCAGGGGTGACCACTCTTTCCCCCCTCCCCCCAGCCCAGGAGAGGCAAAGGTGATTCCACTGCAACTGAAGTTTCAGAGAAAATTAAAATATTATACGGACAGAATCCTTTGTACCTGGAAAGAGTGTTGGTAACTGGTTTTCTCCCATGAGCTCCCATGAGCTGTTTCTTTATCCGAACACTACAAGGTAGGTGTGGATCCAGACAGGACACCCACCTCCCCCGCCCCATTGGAAATAAAAATATACAAAGAAACAATCTGAAGATTACATGATTAGTTGCTGATGATTTCAAATAAGCCAGAAATTAGTTAGAAAGGGAGGTCTGAGGAAAGAGGGCTAATTGTAAGCCATATGTTGTTTGGGGGATTTCCAGGAAAGCCTGCTAAAAATTAGGAAGTTGTGGGCATACTGCTTCTGCGGATATTTAAGCGGGGCCTGTGCGTTCTAGCTCTGGAAAGTCGGTCTCCAGACATTTGGGCCCAGAGTTGCTTGGCCCTGAGCCTGCTGCAGGAGCTGGGGGTCCAGGCCTTGAGCACCGGCCCCTGTGCTTTGCACTAGTGTCCTGGCTGCGGGACGGCCTGTGTCTGCAGGGGTGATCATGGAGGTTGGAGCACCTGGGAGGGAGCTGTTTGGCCCTAGAGTTTTGGAAACGGCCCTGAACCTGCAGGGCAGCGATCATAGGGGATGGGGAGGAGGCCACGGCTATGATCCCCACTCTCCTGCAGCACTGGAGTCAGGGCGCTGGCCTGGAAGGCCGAACGGGCAGCTTCTGGACTCATCTTCGCACCCAGAGGCCTCTGGCCTGCAGCTCTGGGCGGCCGCACTGTTTTCCCTCAAATCAGTTTTGGGGCAAGGAGTTGCGACAACGTGGGGGTGCTGGGGACGAAAGACGCATTTGGAAAGCGCTCAGTTATGCAAAATTACTTGCTTGCCCCTGCAGTAGCTCCCAAGGGCGGGTGAGGAAGAGACACTAATTGATTTAACCTGTTCTGGGGACTTGAGTCTGCCCTGGGGACGTAGTGCACGGGATTGGGAGGAAGCTGAGAGAGCCACCGGGGTCAGGGCTCGGGCGTGAGGCGGGTTTTAGAGCCAGAGCCATCCTGGGCGGTGGCTGGAGCTCCCGGATCTGCCGGGCTCTTGGCTGCGGATGGAAAGATGCCCAGCAGAACCGACGTGCCAAATGCGGCCTCGCTGTTCCATAGCCCCGGAGCAGGTGGGATCCCTGGGTGAAGATGGATCTAGGATCTTGGGAGTCAGAAAAGAATAGCAGAATCCGAAGGAACCACGAACGCTCCATACTTGGGTTTTCCCCAAGGTCCCACAGCGAGGGCAAGAGCAAGCCAGTGTGCCTGGGCTCTCCTGCTGAGGGGGCCCTCTGCCTCAGCTCCTTTCACCCCTAGTCCCGCTGGGCAGGAGGAGAGAACATGGAGCCCAGAGGGGTCAAGAGGGAGGCGACAGGAACCAAGGTGGATACTCCTGCCTAGGACTGGCCTAGGCTTGGGGCTGCTGGCCTTTCAAGGCTCTGCTCTGTCAAGCTGCCCCATTAGACCTCAGTCTCCTGTTCTGTGACATGGGCCCATTTAGCAACTCCATGGCTGCACAGGAATCCTGGGATCAGTGTGAGGAGCGTGGCCATGCAGGTGGAAATCGAACCTGTTCTTACTCCAGTCACTGCTTCCTGTGAGCTCCCTGCGTGTCCCCAGCCATATGCAACTTCCACAGCGAAGTGCCTCACTCAGTGGGCCTCTGGGATTGGCAAGACCCAGCATTTTCTGGATCCCCACATTTTCTCCCCTTTAACAGCAAACTAAGAAGTGGGAGGTAGATGGGTGGGAAAGAGGGCAGAAGAGCAAGGCTGGCTTCGGAAGTGGACTCAGGATTTAAAACTTCACGAGTTAAAGGGTGGTTGGGGACACACGGGTCTCAGAGAGGCACTGGGGCCCCGGGTCTGCCTCCCCTCTTTGCAACGTGACCTTTCCTTCAGGAGAGGGGCGCTTTGGAAACATAGGGGCACCCAGGGTGGGGAAACTCTGCTGCTCAGTCCAGAGGGGCAGGTGACCCAGGGCCAGTTCCGCCACCCAGTGGCCTACAGTGGGCTTCAAGGGGTCAGACAGAGTTGGAGCTGCAGGAACTGCGGGCCGATCTCGAGGGTTAGGTCCCTTCCCTGGAGTAGAGATTTGAGCCCCAGCTGTGGGGCAGAGCACGCATTCCCCGTGGGCCCTTGCACACGAAGGGCTGGCAGGAGGACCTGGCCAGAGGTCCCAGTTCAGGAGTGGAGTTGGAAACTGAGGCAGACTATGGAAAGGAGAACAGACCCCCTCCTGCCCCATCTCCAGACCTGAAGACCCAAGACAGGTTTGGGTGAAAGATGGGGAGGGATTGGAACATTTATCACAGCCTTTTACTTAAAAGAAGCGAAAATATCATTCACACACAACAGAAGTGGGGCTGGAGGCCTAAATTAGTCCAGTGGTGGGATTTGTCTGTGTTTAGGTTTAGGCAGGGCCTTCCCCCCCACACACACACACATCCAAGCCCCTTGGGGAGAAGGGGGGGCCATCTTACAAATTGCTATCCAGAATCTAAACGTTTTGATTCAGAGGGCTTGGTGAGGACAGACACCCCTAAACAGACATGGGGTTACAGAGCCAAAACCTTTCTATACTGCAGCCTGAAATAATGTAGTTTTTTAAAAATAGACTTATTTTTTAGACTGCAGATTTTTGCAACCCTCTCCCATCTCAACTTGGAAGCCTGCCAGGCTGTGCACCTGGGTCCTGGAGGGAAAGCTAACAGTCCAGAGCAGGATGCTCCGGGCCCTGGTGAAGGGAGATTCCAGGGCATGCAGGGCCCTGGCAGTTGGAGGTGAGGAACTGGATCGCAGATGCTGCATATTCAGTTCTGGGGTGCTCGGGGGCGCAGAACGGAAGCCTGGCCCCAGCGGCTCTTTGTAGTGGCTGGGGCTTCACCCCATCCCTCAAGGTCTGAGCATCAGGCTTTGGGTGGGGGTAGGGAGGTCTTGTGTCCGTTGTCTGACCACAGACAACACTGGCCAGTGAGGCAGGGCCAAGCTGGAAGCCCCCTTCCCTCCCCTACCCCATGGCTGTTTACGTGCCCTTCTTGGGGCATCCCTACCTACCACCCCCTTCACACCCTGCTGTGCGACTGCTGGTTTGGAGCTAGGCTGAGATTTCAGGGACCCCAGAGAGACGCAGCATTCCCGGGCAGGAGAAGAAGGGAGTGCGAGCAAGCAAGGGGGAGGCCCAGAACCCTGAGGATTTCCTGGTGCCCGGAGTCACCAGCTCTGGGCCCCCCTAGAGTAATTACCGAGGCCTTCCGCTAGAACCCGCTCTCCGCTCCGCACCAGCCAGTTTAGCTCCTTCAGTCCCCCAACAACCCCATTTCAGAGGTGAGAAATAAAGGTTGGTGGTCAGGGCACTTGCTGGAGATCAGACCGTCCAGAACGGCCCAGCTGGTGTCTTTAAAGGAGGGAGGGGAGGTGAAGCCCCCGAGTGTCCCCGAGGGGCCAGGGTGGGGCAGGCTCCTGCAGGTCTGCGCTAGTTTTTCAGTCCCAGGTCCAGTTTTCTGTGGAGGGGGAGGGGCAGGGCTGGGGTCGGGCCCCTGTTATTAACCCCATTTAATTGCCACAAGATCCCTGTAAGCATTGTTTTTGTCACCAGTTTTTTAGACACCCCAGGTTGCCCTTGGGGAAGCGTGAGAATCACTGTCCATCCTGGGAGTTCTTAGTGAACTTGAGACCATTTCTGTGGGGCTGCACCGGGCGATCTCTGACATAGTGCGTTCTGCTCCTGGGTCCAGGGGAAGGCGCAAACCGGCTGCCTCCTGTAGGTCCCAACTCACGTGTCCCCTCACCTGAGAGGTGTGACCCTACCTCACAGCGAGGGAACCCTCCACTATGTCCCCTTCCCTGGGAAATCGTCTTATTGGTGTGGTCCCATGTGAATGGTCTGTGACCTGCACTTGGAGGGCAGAGCCCCGAGGGTAACCCCAGGCACAGCAGGCGTTCAGAGCCCGTCGCCCACTGGCTGACTGAGCACCCAGGGAGGGAGGACCGTGATTAGACAGCTTCCGTGGCAGGAGGGCCTGGTGGGTTTAACTGAACAGCCAGTGGAGTGTGAGTACCAAGGTGTCAGCACCCACAAACCCTGGAAGGCAGAGGGGAAAGGCAATATGGGCTCCCGTTCCCTCTGACCCAGTGGCTGACCCCCTCCCCCAGGACCTGGCCATCTGGGTTCGCAGTAGCAGGGAGTCCACAGCGGATTCCCCTGCTGTAGGGCAAGTGGGACCCAAACCCTGGTGGCTGGGAAGCCACAGACTGGGCTCGGGACCCCGCTGATGCCCTGCAGTCACTGAGTGGGGGGCTCCGGGGTTCAGGGAGGCCAGACGGCCAGCGGCTAATACCTTTCGGGGAGCTTAGCCCTGTCTTCCACTCCTCCCCGCACTTTTTCAAATAAAGCCCTTTGTTAGGTCCAGATAAGGGCCACACACACAGCGCCTCACTTTTTGGGAGCATACTGGTTACAAACCTTAATTTATTTAGTCTCTGCCTTCTGCCCAAAGTAGATTTTTATGGGCCAAGTAAAAAGGCCTCGCCCACAGCGGTTTCTAATGGAAGAGCTGGCAGCGCAGTGACTCCAGGGCGGGGTGACACGGGCGGGGTGCTTGAGGGGAGCCTTT